CTGAAGGCTTTTCAGTGAGTTTTTTGGACATCCTGATAATAATGAATTGCAGTAGTCCAGCCTAGAAGTAATAAATTCATGAACTAGTTTTTCAGCGTCACTCTGAGACAGGATATTTCTAATTTTAGACATGTTGTGCAAATGGAAGAATGCAGTCTTACATATTTGTTTAATATGTGCGTTGAAGGACATGTTGGGGATTGGGGATTCACACATCCCCAATGCAATATCTTGAATGTTTTCACAGGGATACAAATAGGGAAAGAAGTTCAGAAGAATTTGAGGGAAATCACTGTCCAGCATTTGTGCGCTGATAAAAGCCAGAACTCAGCAGACAGGACAGGTCTAAAGATTTCAGTTCCAAATAACAAAGATAATTTGTTAAAGTCAGCAGTCCATGTGGGAAATACAATGTATATATGTGCACTGATTGAAGCCAGAAACAGGTAAACTGTCAAAGCTCCAAACAGTGAGGGGACAAAGCAAGAAAAGATAACACAGAAAGGAATTGTGTAGACAGTTACACACACATGCAGGTACTCTCTCTCTCTTTCTCGCACAAACACACAGACACACACACAAATAGATGTTGACATCATTCTATTGCTGTTGTGTCACTTTATGACATAAATTTGACTGTGTACCACACTATGTACCACAGGTCTTCAGACTGGCAGTAGTTTAACCGTTACTTAAAAAGCCATCTCTAGACCCAGTGGCCATAATTAATTATTGCCCAATCTTTAACCTTCCTTTTCTTCTCTGAATACCATTATTTTGGCCTCCAGTAACACTGTGAGGAATCTTGGAGTCATTTTTCACCAGGATATTCTTCAATGCACATATTAAACTAACACTCTACTTTTTAGATCAGGCTTAAAACTTTCCTTTTTGCTAAAACATATATTAAGGGCTGGATCAGGTGACCCTGGATCCTCCCTTAGTTATGCTGCAAAAGATGTAGACTGCTGGGGGATTCCCATGATGCACTGAGACCTCTCTGCATTGAATCCTACTTGTTATTATTCGCTGTCTCTCTTCTAACATTGGTGACTTTTAATCACAGTGAGTCTTAC